AGCCCTAGGCGAATACCACCAATATAGAATACCTCCCTAAAATAACCCCCTTTTCTCCGAGACTACTATTAATATTATTAGCTATATAAACTAGGGTAATAGGATCTATTAACGAAGGATTATAAGTTCTAGGGACTAGACCTCTAGGAGGGGAGGTAATATAAGGAGTTAGACGTTAGGGACCTAACCCCTATTTATATTATTGCTAATATTTTAGCGATAAGCCTAAGTTTAAAAGAGAAGTTAAGGCTATATACGATAGCCTTAATAAGTTAAAGTTAATATAATAGCTTATTAATTATTCGCTAATCTAGTTACTTTCCCTAACCTAGGCCCTTAGCTAAATACCTTTATAATTCTATTAAAGATTATCTAGAAGGATCTAGAGAATTTCTATTTATAGCTTTCTTATATTCTTAGATTCTATAATAATATAATTAAATATTATAGAGCTCTAATATATATAGTATTAAGCTCTCTTAATCTCTAAATTAAACTATTATTTAATCCTTAATTATATTTAATAGATTCTTATATTCTTATTTATATACTCTAAGAAGAAAGCTTATATATACTTTAAAAGTATATTTAGGAAGAATATATAGAGCTATATATATTAAAATTTTAAGAGCTTATATATATCTATTAAAGATATATATCTTATTATCTAGGATATTATAGGTCTCCTTAGAGTAATTATTCTCCTTATTCTAGAATAAAGCGAATTATTCAATTATAGCTCTATTAATCGATAAGTTTATTAATTTCTATAATAATAGAGTATAATACTAAGCTAGTAGGTTCTAGGTACTATTTAGAGGTAAGGTCTTACTTTATTATAAATAAAGTATAATATCCTATTAATTAGATTATTTACTCTATTAATTAGATAACCCTAAAATTAAAGGTTAATAGAGATTTATCCTCTTATTTTATATAACTTAGTTTTAGGATAATTAAGTAATCCCTATTATAGGTAATTATTTATTATCTAATTATTCTCCCTATTCCTTTACTTTATAGAGTAATAAATTATAATTAATAATTCTTAACTCTAATATATTAATATTAAATATCTCTTCCTATAATAATATTAAAACTGATCTCTTTAATATCTTAATATATACTATTCTAAGAATAAGGATCCTATAATTTATAAAATATACCTTTAATATTAAGAGATTATTAAAATTTAAAGAATCGAAGTCCTCTTCGCTCTAGCTTTAAAAGTCTTTAATAAATACTTCTAGGAAGTAAACTCCCTTTATAGTTCTATATATACTAATTTTTTTAATAATCTAAATACTCTTAAGATCTATAAATATTAAGTTTAATAATCCTAGGAATTATAATTCTACTCTACTTATAATAAAATCAATATTAAGATCTTTCCTAACCCTCTATATTAAGCGTATTATATTAATACCCTTTAAGATAATATCGAACTCTTAATATAGCTTCTTAGTATTCTCTAGCTCTATTATAGAGCTATTATTATAATCTAAAGAGCTTATTATTATTAAGTTTATAAAGCTTTAATATAAATAATTAAATATTCTATATAGCTTCGTTTTTCGGGTTTTATAGCTAGTAATATAGCTTAGTAATAATCTTAGTCGTAGGAGTCCTAAGATACTCGAAGTAGATAGTACTCCTATAAATTATATAATAAGGGAATTCCTTATTATTAAGCTTATATAAGAGTCCTAAAGTACTTAAAAATAAAATACTACTTACGATTATTTATAAAGTATAGTTAATAAGCTTATATATAGTAAATATATTATTTATAGGATCGATCTTAATTTCTCTAGCTCTAACTACTCTATATTATATTAAATATAATATTAATTAATATTAAGATAGCTATATTATTTATATAAACCTTAATCTAGTACTTCTACTATATTTATAAGCTCTAAATAGGTAAGGTATATAATATAAGGCTTATAATAGTTAATTCTTAATTTTATTCTACCTCTAAATTACTATTACCTATATAAGTTAGATATACCTATCTAATTTACTAATTATATTAGCTATAATTTATATACTCCTAAGAGCTATAAATCCTAGATATTACTATCCTAATTACTACCCTAGGGAATCCCTTAATATTATTTTAATAGCTTTATATAAACTAATTATTTATTAATAATTTAATAATAGTCTTTTAAAGAGGACTTAGCTTAAAAGTTATCCTTATTATAATTATCCTTTAATTACTTTAATAATATTCTTATTAGCTTATCTTCTAATTAATATTTACTATAATAAATAGCTTATTTCTAAATTTTTATATATATTTAAATTAATCTATTTATTTAATTTAATTAATTATAAATTAAAGAAATTAGAGAATATAAAATATTAAGCTTTAAGCCTAGGTTAAAGAAATCAGATAGATTAGCGAATATTTATAAGCTATTATATTAACTTTAATTTATTAAGGCTAATAAAAATAGCCTCGACTCTACTTTTAAACTAAACTTTATCGCTAAAAGATTAGCGATAGTATATATAAGGGTTGAACTTCTAATATCTAACTCCTTGTACTATACATATATATATATTAGAGTAGGTACTTAACTAGGTTAGCTGCTAGAGTAGGAACTTCAATCCTTAGCCGTACCTCACTCGTCCATCTCAGATCGTTCTATTAACAAACCACGCGGACGAAGATGGCGTCTACAAGTGATCTCCAGCAACTGTTACGGGCCCTGTCCTCTAAAAATGCTACAATGGCAATGGCTATGGGCCAAGCTCGGTTACTTCAAAATGCCGGCCTCAAAAGGTAAGAAAACAACCATGCACCCCAAAGCAATCTGCTCCCTACACCCGTTCCCATATTAACGCAAGAGGGCGTCAGTATACAGGAGATAGCGGATGCACCCTTTGCTGTGGTCCGTGAAGCCCTCGGCAACCAGAAGACTGCCAAGTCTGTTCAATCTATCTGCCGGAAACATTCCGATGATGCCGTATCAGGTGGCACAAACAAGAGGTCCCTCGAGGGTCCCGTGACCCCAGCCGCAAAGAAGTCGAGGATTGGGCCTTTTGCAATCGATGGCGATGGGGAGGCCCGATCCCCGGCTGAAGTCGAACAGTCTTTGGCCATACCTATAATCACACAAGAAGATCAACTAAGAACAACCGTGATCTACATCAACCGGGCCCCGGTGCTCCTTGCGTTCACACTAGAGCTTCTCAGGGTTACCATGCCGGAGCAGCCACTGTCAAGCCGTCTTAGTCTTGCGCAAGCTGTCATGAGTAGCAATGCGAGAGTTAAGGCCGTTGACATAGGACTTGAACAAGACATTAAGGCAAAATCTGGAACATGGCAACTTGGACAACCCACTGTGAGAATCATGGGACGAGAAATCTCCATACTCAAGCGAGGTGACTATCCCTTGGAGACTATTGCAGGACCGAGTTTTGGCAGTACATCGATCGCATGTCCTGAGCAAGTTGCTACGATTCACGGGCAAGTTGCTACAGTACAGGAAGATGAATCAGCCTCCGAAGGTGTCTGGTCGGAAACTAATCAACAGGCAAACCCTCACAACAAAGGGCTCACTACATCAAGCCTTGGGAACACAGCCAGAAAAGAAGCATCTGGCTGGTCGACGTCCCAGCGCATAGACATGCGGGGCTCGTCTTTCATTGCGCATAGTACTCCTTTCACTGCTAGTGATGTCGCCAAATCCGTCATTGGCGCCTTCATAGACTCGCAACCCATCCTCAAGACAGCGTCTCACAATTTTTGGGGCTATCGGATCCAGCGGCCCGAAACGTTTACCTCTTTCGAGGGTGCAGATGATGATGGTGAAACCGGTGGTGGCCAGTTCATCCTGCGCCTGCTTCGGGAAGCTGATACGGTTGACCGACTTGTTGTTGTCAGTCGGTGGTTTGGCGGCGTCATGTTAGGACCGGATCGATGGGGGTTGATTCGTAGATGTGTCAACGAAGCTTTGGCGGAAGGACTGCGCTTGCACAACCCTGTCGACCTGCATCAGGAAGTAGCGGTTTGGGCACTCGACACCAGTCCGCAATATTCGATGAGGAACCAGGGGACTCACTCAGCCCGACCCAGTAGTGAGCATGGAAAATTAGGATTCGTGGTACACGAACCCGAGGCTGCAAGAAATTATCTTTTGAGTAGCTTCGCAGCCGCCTCTGATCAACCCACCAGCGTTGCTATGACGTCCGGGTCGCCCAAAAGAAGGGCACGACAATCGAAGACGTCATCTTTCACAGTCACACAAGCCGAGGAAAACGCTGCAAGGGTTCTTGGAAGTTTTAGGTTGCTATTTGAGAGCTGGGCCAGACATCTTACCCCCCGGCAACTAGACCAGAGAGCGTGGGCATGGTATGTGGCAATCCGACCAAACGTAGAATCTGGGCCCCAAGGCTGGGGAGCAAAGGGCACGTTGTCCCTTGTTAACATATTGGCCCTTCGCTGGGCAGCCCCCGGAAATAACCAACAGTAAGTAGTGAGCAGCTCACGAAATGGAGGGGACCCAAGTGGGTTGTGATACCAAGAATGTTGAGTCCTGCAATTTTTCCGCACGCCACAAATGTATGAGAACATTGTAGTCTCAAGCGCATCATCTAGATAATGATAAGCTGCGACGGATTGTTAGTTTTCCTTGGCTGATGACTGAGGCCTTCAACTTACCTCAATCAGTCTTTCGGTCAACGTGAAATATTTTCTGTCCTGTTCGTGTGCAGAATCCATCGAACAAGACCGCCAGAGCCCGCTGAATCCAAGATCGTCCAAGACATCCTCCAGTCGAACAGGCGTATCAAGTGCCTGATTGAGGCGAGGATCCAAGGCAAGGCAATGTAGAAGCAGGTGCGCAGCTTCTAACGTTGTCGAATTCTGGCAATGCGAAAGGGTGTCGTTCAGTATGGTAGCCAGCGGGCCGCACCTGAAAAGACCGTTAGTATCAAGTAAATTGCTGCAAATGAGGCACCCTGGTCTCACAAATGGAGGACGACCGTTGGTCTTGCTTTGGCAAGTAGGGCCAGCCATCTTAGAGTCCGATCCTGAATCGCATCCTCAAGATACCGGAAATCGACCAGCTCAATCGCCGTATTGAGCAGAAGGTCCTGGTCATTTGCCCGACTAATATCCTGTAGCTGTCGTGTACTTGCGACCATGCCAACCAAGGACGGATTCACCCCAGACGACCAGAGGATATCCTTGAGTTCCTGGTGGCCCGCGACCCTTGCTAGAATCAGAGCCATATAAGGTGAATCTAGCGAGCTCCTCATCGGCCCGTCACTGTCATCAGAAAAACTACCTGCCATCTCAAGGAAGGAAGAGAGAACCCTCATGGTACCCTGTCGCGTAGTAGTGTCGACCAAACCTCTCGCCAGGCATGCGCAAACAGCAAAATGGAATGACTCCCGTGAGAAATGCACGTCGTATGCATCATCTAGGAGCACCGCAGCTTCTTCAAGCTGAACTCTGCCCTGCATAAGCAATGCTGCCATGTTTTCGCCCCTGAGACCGCCGACTGTGTTGATGTTACTCAGCACAGCTTCTAGGAATTGAGCTGTGCAATTGAAAAGAGCGGCCGGAACCAGGCGAAGCAAAGATATCGCCAGCCAAAATAATTGAAGTCCGTATCGCGAAGCAGAGGGGAGCTTGGACATCATCCGAGAGAGTGATGTAACAATTGAGACGAACATGTCATTGTTGCTCTCATCCTCCAATCGTCCAACACTGTTCCGCAAAGCTACGAGGACTTGATATAGCAGATCGTCATCAACTTCCTCTCGAGCAAGACAGCCCATTACCGTGAATGCCCTTGGCTGCACAGCAGGGTTGGTCTGGAAAGCCGTGCTCGCCACCAGACTCATCCATCGCGAACGCCAAGCATTTGAGATATCAACTGAGGGTGCTGCCAGTGAACAGATTTCGAAAAGTAGCGCCGCCAGACTCTCAGTCGCAGCGAGGGCTGGCCCCGTATCCTGTGTCGTGGTGATAGATGTGGTATCTCGCAGAGTGCTTGACGAGGCTGAGAAGACTTCGCCACGAGAGTCATTAATGAGGTCCAAACTGCTTCGCAGTTTGTTTAACCTTAGATCTTCGAGGAGAAAAGACGTGCATGCAGCGTGTACAGTGTTGACGAGTAGACGGTGAACCAGGATGCGTATCTCCACCGAACCAGTGTTGGCAAGCATAGTGACGATATGGAAGATCTCTGGTAAGAAAAGCTGCGCCTGGACACCATTGTCGAATGAGAGTGACAAGCAGAAGTGAAGTAATACGCAGATCTCGGCCCACACAACGTTATCTGGCAAAGCTTTCGTGGGGCGGAGGGAGGTTCGATTCAACGCCTTTCGTAGCCTGGAAATGACCCTAGCCCGGAGAGTGATGGTTCCCATGCCGGCCACTATCGAAGAAAGAGCATCTAGCGACTCTTCTGCAAGGTTGAGGCTGAGTGCAGCTTTTGTTAGTTCCTCCAGGAAAAGATCCAGGATCGTTTCATCCCGCGAGATGGCGGGCCAAATAACTTGCTCCAGAGTGTACGCGAGGAAGTGATCGGCTACAGCCAAGTCAATTAGTTTCCGGAACAAAGAAGCAATTTTCTCCTTTCCCCTGTCACCATCTGCCTCGTTTGCAAGAATCGCAGTTCGCAGGCCAGGAAGCCACGGCGACATGTACGCCAGGCTTATCGGCTTTTGGTCGTCAGAGAAGCTCTCCCACCCCACGAAAAACTCGGTGAGAAAGTCGAATGTCAGCTGTGGCTCCATCTGTGCCAGCTGCTCACTGATCGCAATGATGAAGTGTGACGCAGATGTGGGAACCGAGACATCTCAGGGATGATCAGCACGAGCAAAGTCCAACCAGATTGTGTCTAAACTGTAACTTACCGATCAAGCACATCATTTTGGAGGCAGCACTAAATCGGAAGGCTTTGCACAATGAGCCAAGAAGGTTATAGGAAGCTAGCCTTAGAACATCGTCGACGCTTGAAAGATTTGTTAATGCTAGGTTAAGAAGAGTCCCAGGTACGTCTTGTGGTCGAATCAGTCGCTCGTAAGCCTTGTGTGATCGACTGTCTTTGCTGTACTTGGCTTTAGCACCGCGAATTGTTTGTAGAACATCCACCTTTTTCGGACTGGTGAAATACATCACAATGCGACCGTTATCGGCTCGGAGTCCAAATGCTGAATCATCTTCGGTTTGAATCGACGTCGGAGCCTCATCAACCTCCCCGAGGCGGAAAATGTCGTTGACTGTTGTGCTGAGCCGGTAGCCTGGGAAAACCTCTTGCTTTTTGGTTGTCGTAACCTGGACAAATTGGCTCCCAACCTTGATGATAACCTCAATTTTTCCCTTTGTTTTTGAAAGCCTGGTGATGGGTTGGAAAACGTAGCGTGTATCCGTCACAACACTGATTGTCTCTTTCGGTAGGTGAAGCTGGCTCAAGTGGAAGTGAGCCTGCAAGTCTTGCAGGCTGCCAATAAGATGGTACTCGACGTTTTTGGGGTGAAAAACGCTGCTCTCAGTCTTGGCAGAGACTCGAAGAATTCTGCGGAAGCATTTCCTGCAACATACGTCAATTTGAATGTATCGGGCACATCTCAGCCCACATTTGCTCACCGGAAAGCACTGTTCATGTTGTATACGTAAACTCTCGTCAAATTGCGGTTCAGTTCGACGGGTGTGAGAGAGTCTAGCTTCCGAAGGAGATCGTCTTGCGGCTCATTCTGCCCATTGTAGCACGTTGCGTCTATGAGTAGTCCGAAGGGCTTGTGCCAAAGGCGACTAGCGATCTGCGGAAGGGTCAACGCGCCAAAATCGAGGAGGCATGGAGCCACACAGGAGGGACCGTGGTCAGTCCGACCATGTAGAAGGCTGCTACTTGGCTGCTTACCTTCAGATAGCAAAAGATTAAGGTCTCATAGTCAATGCTCTCCGAGTCCATGTGCCGCAAAATGATACAGATGATTGAAAGTCCGTCCTGATTGACAACAGTCAGTGCTGTTGTACCTCCCTGCAACCTCCAGAGTGATTCTCGGCAATCAATTGGTAAGACATACCTTGCTCTCCCCCCCATCATACACGGCTCGGGCGGTAAGGAACGACTCGGTACCGCGAAACGCATTGCGCAACATAAAGTCTTGGAACATTGAGTATGAGGGTGGTGTGTTCGTCGAGACTTGTGGCCTGTTCCAGGTCACTGCCAAGGGCGGCGGCCCCAGGTTTGTGATCAAGTTACGCAGTGGCTCAAGCACAGGGGAACGGACTCGAGAAATCTCGGCTGGTGAGCGCACGTAGTCCCTACGTTCATGGCCGACCAGCTTCTGCCTGATATGATCCCAGTGGTCGTATAGGAAGCGATGCAAGGCAACGCAGGACCCGAAGTCGAAAGATTCGATGCTACTTTCATGATCCAGACTGTCTGGCGGTACCTGTGCAATGTGTCAGGTTTAATGGTCTCAAGTTGCCAGGCGAACAATCGTGACTATATCCCTTACCGATATCTCTCGAAGAAACGTAGTGACACGATAGATATTCTGTGTGAGAAAGTCATTCAAGGGAAACATGTATGGCTCTTTCGCGCCGAACAGGACGTTGTTTGCCAGATTCTGGATCACTTTGGCGATCAAGAGTAAACCCCGCCGCAATTCTCGAGAGGGTGGCGTGTCCAGCAGTCCCTCAACCTCAGGCGCCACGATAGCAGGGCAGAAAAACCGGAGGAAAACAAATGCACCAACTGCTGTGTACTTCGCCTCCTGGAATCTGGGAAGTACTGCTGTAGATATCTCCCTGCATTAGCTGATTGACTGGATTGGGGAGGGCCTTGTGAGCTTACTATACTGCAGATTTGTCGGAATGAGCTTGGAACGCTGGACGAGGACGCGCAGATGTCGTCTATGAATACCTTGGCAACGATTCGAAGCTGCAGGGCATTCTTCTGCAGCTCGTCGTTCGATGTCACCCGAGCGGGGTCGAGCTCTAAACCAAGATCTTTCGAGGTGAGCACCAATCGCTCAACTACCTTCTGCAGTGTTGCTTTGAGATAGGCCTGTCCCTTCCACTTCGCATATACTGATAGCATTTTAGTGGCGACACAAGTCCGTCTCAGGATCTCAGACTCGTTATCTGATCACAAAACAATTGAGCAAACGTCTTTTCAACGGACACTTGGAGCAGCCTACCAGTTTGTTCAATCTCTTGCTTGATCAGCGTTTCAATCAATTCAAAAGTTCGACCTCGATGCTCGAAGATTGTGAGAAGGGAAATGGTCAACTCGTCAACCTCGTGACTCGGGCACACAATGCTCATGGCGGCGACAAGTGTCATGTCCTTGGTCAGTAACTGTACTCGCATATATTAGCGCCTCCTTCGACAAGTTGGTGGTCTTACAAGAGGACTACTCACATCCAAGAGTTCGTTGTATTTCTCATTTACGGCCGAGTCGGTCAGATTGCTGAACTCTGTGCCCTGGATGAGTATATTACACAACACCTTGACGAATGCTGTCCTGATGTCGACATTGTCGTGGTAGCCAATGTTCAGGGAGTGCTTGAGGCCGACATCGATATTTGCACTCAACAGATTGGACAAAATAGTGATCGCTAACTCGGAGGGGGATGCAGTATCATCCCTGCCGACCCCAGTTGGCATGATGTCGCCCTTGTTGATTTCAGACGAGTCGTGATTGAGCAAGGACAAGAAGCGATTGAAGTAAGTATGAAACATCTGAGCCTTCAGCTCACTCGCGCCTGCGTCCGTCTGCCCTTCGCCAGGTTGCAGCGGCAAGCGGAAAGTGAGCTCTGCCAGTGATCTTAGGCAAGCTCGGTCCAAGTCCTTCTGCATTCGCTGGGCATCATCTGGACGTCCCAACATGACGCCCTGGTGTGGATCCACACGAGGCGTTCGTGGGCGAGCAATCCAGCCGAATATGTATTCCAGCAAGTGGTTCCTGATACGCACATCATCCCTTAGATTAAGGTGCTCTTTTCGCTTATTGACAGTTTCGCACAGCTGACAGACTTTGATTTTCACCCTGAGTGTGCTTGTGCTGTCGGCCATACTGTCCATGAACTTGGTAAAGCTCAGAGTCAAGGCACCAAGATGTACAGATGATGCGGCGCCCAGATCTGAGGGGCTATCAAGTCGTTCAACAAGAGCTTTCAGGAGTGAAATTGCTTGCTCTGCAAACGCGACTTCAATGTCCTGAGCTTGGTCACTTGGAGCTAAAGCTCCCGTGAAGAGAACCTCCAGCTCAGATTCGAGGGCCCTGAACATAGGTTGGTAGAGTGTGGGTGAGATGTCGCTAGACAGAACATCCCGGGTCGCTTCTCGAACCCTAATGTTGTTGCAACCCAGTAGTTGAATACTCAACCTCAGATACCGGTCAAGGAGTGGCTCCTCATGATTGTCATTAGGTAACTGGTCAATCCACCGTGCGCTGCTCAGTGTAGGTTCCTCAAGAATGATGGCGGGGTTGGCGACGCAGATGCCACCCAGAGATGCAAGAAAACCAGAGTGATTGCGCCATTCCGAAAAGACCTTGTCTTCAATAGCATCTGCGGGTGTCGAAGAGACTTCCCTGGAGAGAAGCAACCACCTCTCAAATGCATGCTCCCACGCTGCAAGGATACCAATGGTTGGGTATTGCAGCCGTCTCAACAAGCCTCGCATGCGCTTTTGAAACGCGACGAGGCCCGTGAAACGGAATGAGCCAGACCCAAGCTCACGGAATATGTCACTGTTTCGAAGCAAAGGCGCCAAAACTTTCGCAGCTTCAGGGCTTGCTTCTGCAGCTTCGTTGGCCTCCAGTGAGGTGGCGACCAGAGAAGTCACCAATCGACACGTTTCAACGTCAGCCGAACACAAAGCCACCAATAGGGTCGTTTCGGTCTTGGAGGCTGCTGTCGGCAGTTCAGGGATGTCACTGGGTACTTCAGATAGTTCCTAGTTTATTTAGTGGTGGTTATTCAACCGGAAGCGAAAGCACTTACCCGCAGAGAGTTCAATAGCACAACTCGTGCAGCAAGATAGTCGTAAATTGCCCTGACAGCCATGCTGCCTCCGCCTGCCATCACTTGGTCGCATAAGCTCACAATGAGCCGACAACTACACCCGAATCAGCTCGTTGAGAAAAGGAGCGGGAGCGAAAGCCACAGCGGGTCACGCGAGAGTGCCGGACTAACCTGCGCCTCCAGAAGCTGATCTTCAAGGCCGAAGAATCAAGGGTGCCTTGAGATCTGAGATCCTCGATAACGGCACGATCTACGAACAGCCGTTTCGCTACCCTGGTAGCGTGTGCCCTTACGCCAGGGTCCCATGACAATACAAGACACAGAAATGCTTCGAACATGCTGTGCGCTGGTGCTGTTGACCCTGGTTTCCTTTCTTCTACTTCGAGAAGTGACTGCGGGGAAGCTTCCAGGAAGTCGAGTACATTACAAGCCATGAGGGCCTTGGGGTGATCCAAGGCCTGTACGGTGATGTCAAGAGTCGAGTTATCTGACAACAGTCCCGCAATGTCCTGTAATATTATGAGCCTTTCCAATCAGGATGAAGTGCGAGTCTTCACTATCCCAGACTACAAATTGACGTACCTGGAGCTGACTCAACATATAAGGAGTTGCTGTACCAAACAGTGCTTCGTACCTGTGGGAGTCGTTCTGTCTGGCAAGGTAACTGCAGCCCTGTACAACAGCTCGCCGAAAGCTTGTAGGAGTGCCCATAGCAAGACACGTCTCAGCCAGAGCGTCCAGCCCACTCTCAGGATTGAGCTGAGCTAGACCCACGAATGCTGCGCTCAGCAAGTCCTGCTCGAAGTGCGAACCGTCCGCGTTAGGTGCAGATCGTCGGAAGACTGCGTCCTTGACCTCGTCCTGTACGTCGAGAGCAAAGCTCACGATGGCTGTGTCGTCCTCGGCATCAAAATGACGGGCAGCACGCAACAACAAAACTAGACAGTAGGCTGCTGCTTCATTTTTGTTACGCAACGATTTCCTCAGTCCGTCCAGGAATGCCGTCTTCTTAGCCATGCTGCTGCTCTTGGCTTCACGTAGATTGCTCGCAACCTCGAACACGTCAGGGAGCAAAAGGAGCAATGTGATTTGCATTGCGAACATCATGCCTTTCTTTCGACCATTGTCGACAATAGCTTGTGTCATGTCGAAGAGCGTGTCAGCCCCACCGTCAAGCCGCTTATGCAGTGTGTGCAACTGTACAAACTCATGAGGGTGCCGTTCGAGCCAGCTTACAACCAGCAAGGGAAGCACAGCCGCGATTGCGGTCTGAAAAGGCCTTCGGAGATGGAGATAACTGGAGCATATCTCTTGAATGACCTGGCCAAGTTTCTGGCTGTCTACCCAGTAGAAGGAGATGAGGCGAAGCGCGACTAGGTTGGCCCTGTCATCTTCGCCCATGGGAGGAGTCTGGCTAGGCTGCTGCTGAGCTACTCCGGTCGTCCGAATAGTATAGACGACTTTCCTGAGATGGTCGAAGACGCTGGTCCACGAGGAGGCTGTGAGATATTCCACAAGGGTCTTCGCATGACTTTCCATGGAAACTGGCGAAATGGTCAAATCGTATTTGTCAGTCGCGAGGACATCATCCTGAGAAAGAATGTCGGCGCCAGTATCGAGCCAAGCAGCGCGTTCTGCGTGACGAGGGCCATGGCCGAGGATGGTGTGCGCGGGGAGAATAAAGCCATCAGGAGTCGGATCGAGAAGGTTCCTCAGGACATTGAGTAGGCGCGAGACCAGGGAATCATCCAGGGGCGTCGGCACAACTTGCAGCGACCCACGACTTGTGTTGGTTTGCTTGACTAGTTGACGCAAACTATTGGAGCGTACGGCCTCCCAATGCGCGGCGCAACAGTCACTCGCCAGGGCTAAAACGTAGACTTCGGAAGAGACAACGTGGCTAGGGTGTGAAGAGAAGCTCTTGTAACCTCGACCAAGCTCCTCAAGAAGGGTGATCAGCGAGTCCAGGATCGCTGCTATATTCGTGGCGCTAATCTTGACAAGTGTCACTCGAGTGCTAGCAACTATTTCGTCCTGATCTAGTTCGCGGGGTTGGGTTCCGGTTCGATGTGGCAGCTGTCCAAAGGCAAGCTGTAAGCATATCAAAGACCACAGGAGAGGGGACAAGGTTGATTTCACGGGGAGGAGACAGATTCACTCACTCGGGTGGCGATCCTGTCGACCAGACATCCGACGAGTCCTGCATCACCGTTCATCGCTGCTAGCCAAGGAAGCGTTGAAGTTCATATCGATTGTTCTTGGATATGGGGTGTGTTGGTCGGTCTTGTTGCTCAGGCCGGAAAGCTGGTGCGTGCAGGGTGTACACGACACACTGGCTAAAAGCGCTCCAAAACTGATTAGGTAGGCACAATTGGGTTAGGTGGGTCAGTGCTGGGTGTGAGGAGGAGGGGTCCCTGCTTGGCTGGCTTGGTACCGTCGCCTTCACCACCTATCCACCTTCAAAGGGAAAGGAGAATCATGCGGGGTGCGCTTGGATACTGATTAAATCTAGACATGACATTGAATGCATGACATGCCCGTGTGTCCGTCGTGCTGACTGCACACACAGCAACTCAAGTACTGCATGAAAACGCCAGATTTGCCAGATTCGCCACGAAGCTCGCCATGCCATGCCATGTGTCTTGGTAGCACTGGTCACACAATAATGAAGTGATGTTGATCAAGATGACGGAAATCAAAGGAACATGTCTGATGGCAACCTACAGTGTAAGCCCTATCTGGGTTGACTTCCAATCGCTAGTAGCCGCTAGTCGGGGTTTTAACCTTTGCCATTTTCATCTCCGATAGGGCTGTTGCCTATCGCCATGGAAATTCTGACTACGTCCAGCTCCTCTAGCCTGGTAGCCTCCACGACCTCTTGATCCATAGTCTTCTCGGGCGGGATACGAGTTCTGGTATGGCAGAGATGCCTCGTGACTTCCATGAGACAGTCCATAGGTACTCGGGCGGCCATTGTTGAAGTGTGTTGGAGGGGGTGGGGGAGGAAGACCCATGCCAAAGCCAGGGTGACCTGGTGGTGGTGGTTGCCACGCTGAAGGCGGATGTGGTGCCTTCTGGGCGCCATAGTGGTCGCGAGAGGCGGAACCGTTCTGGTAATGTGATGAGTGTTGTTGGGTCCTGCCTCCAGATTCCGCGTAGTGAAAGGCACCACGACCACCGTAGCCGCCTCCGCGGCCTCGGCCGCGACCACCATCATTATACCGTCCCGAAGGGACGCCGCCCCATCCGCCTCGATTCGAGCGAGAGGACTTGTTCCTCAGCTGCTCGATGTCAGACCGACCAAGAGCTGTGGTAGGCATCTTCAGCCCGCGTAAGAGCATGGACTTGTGAGGGGCTGTAGTTGGGAACTCATAATAAACACTGTCATTTTTTTTTTCGGTGAGCTTCGGTGCATCTGGCATATTCGTTTAGGGTCAAACATACCTGAGGGACCGGTCGTAGTCCAGGCTGGGCATTGATTTCCTGTCTAAAGGATACTCCAAGGACCCATGTGGCAGATAGTCGGCGATCTTCTCGACTTGGCCGGTCATGCCATCACTGGTCCGAGGATTCAACCCGAAGGTGGGCGCGCCTTGCTTCTTGGAGTAGAAGTGACTCGTGATGTCTTCATAAAGCTCGTGATGCGCGTCGGACAGCAACAAAACGTCCCTACCGATTCCATTACGCGCAGCGTCCTCGGGGCTGAGCAAGGGATACTTCTTTTCAACTGCTGCCAAAAGCCGTGGCATGTCAATGAAAGGGAGTAAAGCAACACCTTGCCAGGCAAACTTCTTGCCATTGAGGTCAATCTCGAACTCTTGGGGATAGAAGTCTATGACCTCGCTGTCCTCGTTGAGCATGAGATCATGAAAGACCTCTGGAAGTGCACGGCGAGATGCAGCTGGCATAACACTCATGAGTTGTTCAAAAGGCTTCGAGATTCGTCCCTTCTCGAAACTGATCTCGATCTTGTCCAAGTCGGCAAAATCGGCCGCGAACGGCGCATAGTGGTAGGGATAGTACCAATCCCAAGACGGGCAGCCTTGGTAGTAATAGAGAAGCACCCAGCAAAGACCCTCGACATAGGCTTGTGCGACCTTGTGACGAAAGGCGACGTCATTACGGTCGACGTGGAACTTTTGCTCATAGTAGCGGTCTGCGTAACCTTCCTCCCACATTCGAACGTGATCAATCGCAGCCTCTTCCGCGGCGGACGGTCCGGTATTGGGTGTTAATTGCGATGGCTCGTCCAGAACATCCGCCTTGCGTTTCACCACAGAGCTTGCTGCGGCTGCACCTTCTTCAGGTACAGCAGGTGCTTCGACATTTGGATGGATTGTTGCGTCACCATTTGTCGATTTGCCCTGGGTTCCCGATGCTTGGATTCGCTCCCTGATGACATTAGCGGCGCTTTTGTTGGCGGCATTCGCGTTGATGTTGGCGTTCGACGAGCGCCCAACAACCATGTCATGTGTCACAGCGCTGGGGTCAGCATTGGGGAAGCCAGAGACAGGAAATAAGGCCAGCCCAGAGGATGCGTTGTCCAGAGGTGGTTTGCCGCGCCCGCGCCCGCTGGCGTCGGTACGGCCCCCTCTGCCACTCCGCTCGTCCTGCAGCTTTCTCCGCTTGGCATTGGCTTCTCGGCGGTCTTCCTGCTCTTTTCTCCGCCTGAAGATGGCGTCCTCCTGCTTCGCCAAGCCATCCATGATGAGCTGTACCCTCTTCAGATCGATGTGGCCGTCCTTGGTGACGTAGCCACCCATACGAGGTAGGTTTTCTTTCCATATGGTCGTTAATGCGTCTATACCATTCTCTCGGATTTCTAGGGCCGGCAGATGGGGCAAAAAGTCGTTGCCCACGAAACAGCACATGAATACCCAGTCGTCTATTGCGCGCTCGAGATCGAATCGAAACGGCAAGTCGGGTACATCAAGCTCAATAGCGAGGTACTCTCGGAATATGGACACGTGAAGCCATATGAAAGGCTTCAAGTCTACAGCCTTGTCTTGCTCGTCATATTCGCCGTCTTTGTCCTTGGCCTCGCCTTTGCAAACGCGCGCATCGTGTCCCTTTTGACCGCATATTTTGCACATCTTGGCCTTGGCATCTTGTGCGAAAACATCCTCGCGCAGTACGCGGAAATGTGGCTCGTGGGTAGCAAGACCCAGCATGATCAAGTCGGCGTCCAGGCCATAGATGACATGCCGGGTATTGGGGTCGTAGTCTGGCGAGCCTCTTTGAGAGCGGACGTAGTTCATGATCTTGTGCTCTCCTTCGCCTGGAACTGTAGCGTCGGAGATGATGATTTTAAGTCGAGCCCAAGCAGGATCAGTATTGAGCTTGTAGGCGCACCAATAACGCAGACTGGTTGCAAGTGTGTCCATGAAGGGTGTGCCGGGGGTGATCGAGTTTGAATCAAAAGCCTTCTTATTCATGCTCTCGAGGGTCTCAGGTGGCAAAATGCCGCCATTTTGTTGTTTGAGAAGCTTGAGAAGCTCCTGCTTGTCAACCTCTTTCTCTTGTGCTTCCTGTGCAGAGCGAAATCGGCGCGATCGCTGTTGGTTCATCTTTGCTCGTGGCGCGACACCGTCTGAATTATTGTCAGTTCTATGAAAATCTGGATCGTGGCGGTCATGAGTCTCTTGATGACATGACTTACCAACAGCGATCATTAGTAGTTTCCGTGGCCTGACCATGTTCACTACTCGATCGGTGTACCTGAAAACCTCGAGCATCATTTCCTCCTCATCCTTGGGGGCAGGGCGATCCTCTGGATGCGAACAAGGGTGAACGATACCGTTCATGTCAAGGTAGAGATTGTCCAGTTCTTCTCCATTTGGGTTGGGACCGGTGGTGTCTACCGGAATGGTCGTTCCGTCTTCCATCTGTAGCGGCTGATCCTCCACCACAGGCGAGATGATTTTAGGGTACTTGTTCGATAGCCATCTGAACGCAGCTGGAATACCCATTGTGAAGGTGTAGTCGCGCGACGCGCTGGGACCTCTGGTTGAGAGTCAATGTACGTGGGAGAGGTCGCGATATAATCGCTGGTGGCTAGAAAGCTTCTGTCAATTTTGTCGACGTAGTCTTGCCGCCTACTGAGAGGTGGGTGCGGCGCCGCGAGTGTGGAATTGCTGTCACGAGCGGCGTGGTAGTCTCGCAAGACGAGAACGAGGACCTGGAAGAAGAAAGGTGTAATCGCACGGCAATCTTTCGTCGTCCGAATCGAATTGACCACTGCCTCTTCAGTCATACACAGCTTTTCTGGAGCTGGTTTGGAGGACCCAGGAGGATTCGCAGCTAGATATACTCGACCTGACTTGGGAATGCTGAGCAAAGAAAAATCTTGGTTGACCTTGATTGGGAAGTACCTTGTCTTCTCTTGTGTATGTAGGTACTCTCCAGGGTAAGGTAGCCATCTGCGCCAAAAGTTTGGCTGTTGGTCGCATTTGGATAGGTACCTACCTACGAGTAAGATAAGATCGTGCTGAATAAGGTGGGACCTTGAGCACTGATAAGACGCAGGTGGCCGCATACCGAAATTGCTAGTCTAAAGTGTAGGTAGCCACACTACCTTACATATGGTACCTCACTCAAAAGGCTTGTAAGGGGTCATAATACCTCTGTAAAAGAACTGTGAGGAGACGGTGTCTGAAAGCCAATGCCCGAAAGGTTATCAGTGAGCTTAATGCATGCAGGAAAAAAACTAGAAGGCGCAGGTCAGAGAGGTACCGTGGTACTCAAGCCAGATATATCGACAGGGACCTAAGGTACCTAGATAGATACCCACCTCAGTTAACCTTGAAGAATATTGAACTGACCAGACGCCCCGTTAATGCGTTGAGAATCCACGCCCTGCTCGAACACGTATCATGGGATTTGTTATGCATAGTAAGATCAACCGGGGTTACGAAACAACCTAAACGTGTGACACCCTATCGAGTAAACCAGAACTGCTGGCTCCCTATCATGACATTGTGCCTTGGAGTAAGGTAGGTAGACAAGTAGGTAAGTCCGTTCCACTCTGTTGCACCACCTGTCGTGCGCCAAGTTGGATTTCCAGAGCTACGAGGCCTTGCCATCGCGCTAGCTGTTCAATCTTCATAAATGAACACTATGAAGTTGGTATCAGGCCTAGGCGGCACGTTGCATATTGACAAATTGCTAATTTGTTTGGCACCAGCCCGGGTTGCAAGTCTACGGTCACCGAGCGTTGCCATAAACGTGAACACAGTCATCTCTGTCTGGAACGACTGAATTCTCGAGCGGCCTGCACGATCTTGATTCATCTACACGGAATGGTGGTAACCCAGCCCTCATCGATTCTCGCGACTTCAGACCGCATCGCGCCATTCACACCGCCGAAGTCGCGTTGACGAGGAAAGCAACAAGGGGTGCAAAGGCACAAGAGACATCATGTTCTCCTCTATTTCAACAGCTCCGGCGAAACAGTCGGTTAGCGATACCATATCCGTCCTGAGTGGTCGCCTGAGCTCGGCAACATTGTTGGAAGATCGACGTGCAGCTATTCTCGGTCTTCGTAGCTTTGCCAAGGACTTTCCCGCCACAGTTGCCTCAGGGGCGCTTCGAAGCTTGATTGGGAGCCTGAGTAACGACGGGGAAGATGTTGATACAGTCAAGGTTGTGTTGGAAACACTGCTGATGCTGTTCAATCCCAACCAAGACAGCCCAGAAGCCTCCGACGAGATCGTCCTCTGGCTAGCAGACGAGTTCACGCAACGCCAGGATAACATCACTCTTTTGCTTGATTTCCTCGAAGAAGCGGACTTTTACTCCCGCCTGTATTCTCTGCAGCTTCTGACGGCAATCTTGTCAGCTCGTGCAGAGAGGACCGAAGAGTGCGTCCTAACGGCACCACTGGGAATTTCTCGCCTTGTAGCCGTTCTTGATGACCAGCGCGATGCCATTAGGAACGAAGCTATCACTCTCTTGACATTTCTCACCCCCTCATCAGCGGACATACAGAAGCTAGTTGCTTTCGAGAACGCATTTGACAGGTTATTCTCTATTATAGCACTGGATGGATCATTGGCTGATGGAAGTCGAGTTGTCGAGGATTGTCTAATCCTTCTGGCCAATCTATTGCGGGCGAACGCATCGAACCAGTCCCTTTTCCGCGAATCTGGCGGAGTCAAACATCTGGCCACCTTGCTGCAAGGTGTCTTACAAGGACAAGCAGCTATGGCTGATGATGTCGCAGGGTGGGTTCGAGCACAACGGGGTCGTAACATTTATGCCCTTCTTGCCGTGGTTCGCCTGCTACTTGTGCACGGTGCTGTTGGCACTGCCCAAAACCAGTTGGCATTATGGCAACATGGCTTGCTTTATCATGCCCTTCGTCTTTCTTTCAGTGCCGCGGTACAGACGCCAGTCAAAGCCGAGGTTCGTTTTCCCACATACCTGCCGAGTTATTCTGGCCGTTCGTTGATCTATTGCGTAGGCGCTTGTGACATGTGCCGACATCATCAAGGGCAATACGACTCTACAAGAGAGCTTCGCACAACTGCAAGTCCCCTCTCCCCTTTCTCAACCCAGCTCAGGGGCGAGGGATGGGGGTGGCCCGGATAGAGATTCCGAAGTATACGTCATTGACGGACTACTTGATCTGACCCTCGCAGTCTCGGCCAATGACATGTTTGACGTGCGAATTGCAGCCTGTGACTGCCTCAAAGCCTACTTCTTTGATCACGCAGAGATACGCCTTCACTTCCTCAAACGAGCAATCGAAGGCTACAAAACGGGCCTTGACGAGACAGCTAATGTGCTCGCTGTCCTGCTTCGGCCCAACAACGACGACGCCATTGTCAATCCTTACCGCCCCTGGTTTGCTGCCATAATCACCTTCCATCTCCTCTTCAACAACCCTGAGGCAAAAAGACTTGCCATGGCAGTGACTGAGGGTGATGCGGAAGATGGCGAAGAAATAGTCACTAGTATTCAGTCTGTTGCTGCTCATCTACTTTCCGGGCTCGGTCGTGAACAGGACAGCCGGGTTGCGACTGGATATTTGATCCTCCTTCTCGGTTGGATGTTTGAGGACCTCGAGGCTGTCAACGACTTTCTGGCCGAAGGCAGTAATATACAAGGCCTGATACAGGTTGTCGTCCGGCCTGGCCCAGCTGACGAAATCATTCAAGGACTGTGTGTCATGATTCTGGGTGAAATTTATGAGTTCTCCACCAAGGACTCCCCTATTCCCAGAGCTAGCCTTCACGCAATCCTTCTCTCTCGTCTGGGAAAGGAAAAGTTCATTGACAGACTTAGCAGGTTGCGAACCAACCCATTCATGCGCGACTTTGAAGTTCTTCCTCAGAAGCTTGATCCATCCTCTCCGGGTCGACTGCCTGAAGTGTTCTTTGATATCACTTTTGTGGACTTCTTCAAAGATAACTACAGTCGGCTACTGCGGGCCATCGATCGAGAACCTGGACTGGAAATTCCCGTATCAGCAAACGGCGTGCAACAAGGCATATCGCGAGATCTGGTGGATTCCCTACGCGCCCAGCTAAAGGAGAAAAGCAAAGCGCTGGATGAGTTACATATGGCCTCTACTACTCTCGAGAGACAGCTCGGGCAAGAACAGGCAGACCATCGGAAGAGTCGGGAAAATGCAGCCGTTGATCTTGCCAAGGTCAATGCCACGATTGATGCCGTTCAGCGAGACCATGCTGCTGAGCTAGAGTACGTGTCATTGCCATCAACCTTGGAGCCCTACTGAGCCCTGGTCAGTAAATTGCGTCAACAGCTTGCTTCCGAGCAGGCTGAGCACGCTCGGCAACTGAAGCAAGCGACCCAGTCTAAAGAAGTCGAGTTGGAGTAAGCACATCAAGTGTGGCACCTTGAAGCAACAATCAACTGATATGTACAGGGCTGGGCGTCGCAAACTGGTTTCGATCCAGGAAGATTGCAAAAGGCAGATCGAGTACACGAAGAAAACGAGCGAGGCCGAGTTAGAGTAAGGTCTCAGCTGAAGTCGACACGGTCTCGATGACTGACTGCAGTAGGAAACTGCGACGAAAGATGGCCTCACTTGGCGACGATCATGAAAAGCAACTGAGCAAAGCCAGTAAAGCTGCAGAAGTTGAGGTTGACAGACTCAAACGTCGTGCCGACGCTGAAGCCGCGGATCTACGCGCCACAATCAGCAGGCTAGAAGTCGATCTTATGAAGGTATACACCGCCGTGCTGCGTCGCTGTCGAGCCATCGCTAAGGAACATGCAGACGAACAAAAATAAGGCGCAGGAGCTTCATACATTGCAAGAGGAGCATGCCGCGCAACTAGCGCTGACACAGCAACAGAGCTTGGCCAAGCTCGAGAAGCAGATCGACCTGGCGGAAGAGTCGGCCAGCAAATGTGCGCGCCTCGAGAAAGAACTTGATGAAACCAGACAGGACGGCCTCAAGGTATGTAGTGTCCATCATGAAACATAGATGGGCTTGGGCATGTGAGGTTAACTGATCGGCACAGATTGCAGCCAACCTGGCAGAGATTACTGACGCCAAGCAAGCAATACAGACAGAATTGGACGACCTGCTAATGGTATTTGCCGACCTTGAAGACAAGGTCAGCAAGTACAAGGTACGTATTTCCAGGGTGTTCTTGTCTGGGCATTTGATGCATTGAAGCGCTAATTATTTCAAGGCCCGGTTGAGGAAGATCGGACAGGAGGTCTCTGATGGCGAGGATGAAGAAAGCGAGGACGAGAGCGAAGACGGGCAAGGGCAGAGCGACGATGATGGCGAAAGTGAGGACGAGGCGGGCAATGGGCAAGTGACAGCGAGTCGCAAGACTGCTTGAGATCCTCAAACAGCCCATCAAGGGTATCGGCACGACACAAAGCTTACTTGAGCGGGCGGCTTTGGAAGAGAATGAAGCTTTGTCTGCAAAGCCATTTGTCTTGGCGCCAGACTCTGCAGCTTCACAATGATCCTGAACTACGTAGTGATCCCCGAATTCCCGCAATTCCGAAGCCCCAGACTTCTTCTCTCACCGCAACTTCCATGTCTGCGACATCTGTTCTGTGTCACCAGTCGTCCATGTGGTGGAAATTCTCAGCGCTCTAGGGTTGTCCTCGGGCGCCTTGAAGGTGACCTCGCCTGATACCTTCGTGTCACATTTCACAGCAACGGATCCTTTACTCTGATCCGCTAGCAGAAACCCCTGTTTCCAGTGAGTGTCGGGTCCGTATGGTCCGGTGGTGAAGACAACGGGCGACTGGTCCTTGCCCGTCCTGGGTTTGGCCTCAACTCCGGGCGGAATGGTCTCCGCCCGGGTTTTAGTAAAGAAGCAGTCAAACCAGATGAGAAATCCGTCGAGTGCAGCAATGTCGCGAGATAGAGTCGAGGTCCACTGCGCAGTAAAGTTCAGCTCTTCGGCTTTGACTGTGTGAAGGTCAAGGTACGAAATTTGAGCCGGCGCGCCGCAAATTGTCGATGAAGGCCAGATGTCGATGCGGGCTTCGTCGTAGATTCCGGCCTTGAGGGCCTTCATGTCGAAGCCGTAGACGTCGTCCCAAAAGGAAACATGGTCCGCGACGAATTCTGGGTCTGATACTGGCGCCACCCATATGGTAGACACGCTAGGGACCAATATGCCATCGGGCCTCAGATATTTGTCCCTAGCATAAAGGACGCTAGGTAACATGGCTTCGTAGAGAAGACAGTATCCCATCCACTCGCTGATGATGATGTCTACACTGTCGACAGGAAGGCTGATGTCCTCGATCCTGCCCTTGAGCAGGGTGATAGTGTCGGACAAGCCATTGTGGAAAACATTTTCGCGTGCTTTGTCAATGATATCAGACTTGTCGACAGCGTACACCATTTTAGCACCAGCCTTGGCACAAAACATGCTCAGAATGCCTGGCGCTGGGTTAGATCGCGAACAAAGCACGCTATATCTTTGCTGAGGACTTTGACCTTACCAGTGCCGCAGCCAATGTCAAGAACGACCTTGCCCTTGAAAAGTGCTTTGTTCTCGTAAACGAAGTCACGGTAGGCATCCGTACGAACAACGTCCTTGAGCATAGTCTCGTGGATATCTTGGGTCGAAGGATCAGCGAGTCTGATTTGAATGGAGACAACAGCCGTATAAAGTGAAACACCAACCATTATCAGCGTACGACTCCCAGTAGTACTGCGACTGGTCCCGGGGCGGTGCTGCGGGACCAGGATCGGTGTCGTCGCCCCAGCGGCGGTCCAGTGTCTGCTCCACGGCAGTGCGGTAGTTTGCAAATTGCGCTTTGACGGCCGCCAGTTCCCGCTCTAGCTCGCTCTTGCTGGCGAGGAGCGACTGTGTAGATGGCACTTCACCTGTTAAGACGGAGCCCTCCTTACTCGACGGCTCAACATGGTCATCAACATGCAGCTCGTCTAGAGACATGATGAGGGCATCATCTTCCACTACGGGCTTCAGATACTGGTCATGATCAATATCCTCCAAACGGATGGGTACAGGCAGAGAAACACCGTCGAGTACCCTCTGACGGACTAGTACTGCAGTTAGCAGGATGTGCAGGATGTGCTATCAGGCGTGTGCGGAGGCTCAAGCTGGACATGGGTGTGAACAGACTGAAGTTGACAAGCCTCACGCTTCCATGGAAGTCAAGTGATAGGCGTCTCTGGACTCCAACGAAGTCGAAGTCGTATTGCTTCTTGCAGTGCTCCAGCATGCTGGTGACGTCGGCGAAAACGGTATCGTCCAGCAGAGACACAATGGCGAGTGGCTCTTCGTGATCCGACTCGGCGTCATTCCAGTCGGCATCGCTGCCGCCAGAGCTGTTCGATTCTGTCGAGCTCATCGCTTCGTCGTTTCTCAGCTTGTTCTGGGCCATGACTGGAGAATGCGCTGGTGACAGGTTGGTTCAGTTGAGGCTGTTGGGCGCAAACTTGACCATGTGCGATGTGGTGGGGTCTAACTTTGCGCCGAGCCGCACACCAACTTTAGGATGTCAAACAAGTGGATG